GGAGGCGGCGGCGGGCGGCGCGGTCCGGAGCTGGACCTGGGCCCTCCGCTGCCGCACTGTGGGCGTGGAGCAGCAGCGGGCCTCTCCCTGAGTGACGGCGGGGGTCCTGATGGACGTCGCGAAGCAACGCACTTAGAAAAAAGAAAAGACGGCCCCTGCAGGCCTGCCTGGTGCCCCGGCGCTGAGCGTGTTTGCCGCCCTCACGCCCGTTCCTTTTTTTGGAAGAACTTTCTTTTATGGTCTGGTGAATTGGAAAATACTCCTTTCCCCACCCTTTCTTTATGTCAGACCCGTAGGCCTTGTTTTCTTCAACGTGCTAGTTTGGGGAAGTGACACAGAAAAGCCGTACCCACTTTAATCCTTAGAAGTAAATCTCAATAATTCTTTTCTAATTTATGTGTTTGAGAATTTTAAAAGTTAACTAAAACAACCTCCATTGTTGAGTATGTTAAATACTAAACAGCTCTTAAAAGCAATTTCGGAATATGGAAATAATGACATGGACATGGACTGCAGTGACTTAGGAAGATGTATGACTTTTGTCCTTAAGTGTACGAGGACATTACCATCGTGTCTACTAATAAATGTTTCAGTAAACAGAGTTTACACGTTAAATGTAAGGCGTCTAAGGCAAACTTTCCTGAAACGATTTGATGTTACCATCTCTGATGACACAATAGAAATTTCTCATGAACGAAACAGATTGATAAGCCATTATCAGTGTACTTTCAAAGTATTTATAAACGTAAAACCACTTAATGAGATTGGCTGAGCTGGAATAAATCTACAAAGGAAAATGAGAGTGTATAGCTTTGGGACTTCTCGTTATATGGACATACCAAATTAAACTTGTTTGATAATGTTAAAGGGAAAAGTGAATTTTAAAAAGTGACAGATTTATAAAATAATTAGGTTTTTAAAGGCAGTAGTGATGTATAACTCTATATCACATAGTTAAACCTAGTTGATAAATGAGTTTGTATTTTATTGAAAATGCAGCTTTTATACATTGGAAGCACAGTTACAATAGAAAGCATTACAAGTTCTTAATGAAGTGACAGTAATTAGAGCCCTTAAATGTATCAACTATAGTACCAAAAGCATAGGCTTCAGGTACAAATTCTAAGTTGAAGTTCCTTATGCCCCATAACCTTAACAGACTTAACATAACCTTAACAGCTCTGTATCAGTTTCCTCACATGTGAAATGAAAATTCTATTTCATAAAGGTGTAGTGTAAATCGGGATAATTACACCTATTTCAACTTTGTAAAGGAAAATAGCCGTGTGAAGCCCTGATACATATTGGCTACTGAAGTTTTAGTTGTCTTTTACCGTCTTTGCCTTTGGCCTCTTCTACTTTCTCTTCGCTGAAGAATCAAGATTTGAATTGGAAAAAAAAATTATATGTGTGTGCATGTGTGTGTGTTTTAGCTAAGCCAGATTCTTTAAAAACTTTCAAAATTTTTAACTATATGATACTTCAAATTCATACTGGTGAATTTGGGACATAATCTCTTTGTTAGAAGAATTTCTGATTAAACTATGCATTATGCCAAATAGATATATGTATCTCCATCCCAGTATGCCAACATAACAAAACTTAAGACCATAAATCTATAGGTGGAATTCTGTCAATTTGTATTTAATAGATGCTGAAGGAGTAGAGGCTTAACTCAGTGGTAGAAACTCGTTGGTAGAGTGCATGCTTAGCATAAGGGCTTAGATGCAGTCTCCAGTACCAAAAAAAATCATAAAAGCAGCTTCAAAAATAGCAGGTTTTGGTTGCTTTTGGGTTGTGTTGGATTGGATTTGGTTTGGTTTTGACTAGAAATACCAGCCTGGTCTTAAAACTTGTAGATTTCAAAACTTAATAAAGACAAGAGGTATTTGGAAGAGGGATAATAGGATGACAGATGAAAGAACAGTAGGTATGCAATGAAGAATCCTCATTTCCATGCCGAAAAATATTGTATTCCAGTCATTTAACAACCTTTATTAGCCTAGACCATTGTTTGAATTGCTTTTTTCTTTCAAGAAATTTTAAGTTTTACCCAAATGCAGATTTTTTGCCCTTAGTTTTTTTTAGACTTGAAGATTGAAAATTATGACCATCATAGATGTTTTTCCTTCAGTTTAAGCTAATTTTTTTTCCACAAATTTTTAAGTGCAGTACCTTGTCTATAAAATTGCAATTTATGTTATTTTCCACCCTATTTGTAAGAGTCTGGACTTTTTCCAACTCCTTAATATTCTTAAAATGTGAACATCAACATTTCACTGGAAATATTATTTCCTTACTCCTTTGAGCCTGTGAATAAGCAATATTTGGGATTTCCTCCTCACCATGCATAAAGGATGCTTTTTTCCCACATTAATCTTGAGATCAAGAAGTACTGGCTGCATTTGTTTCAAAAATTTTAGCAAGTGCTTTCTGTCTTATTCTGTCTTGAGCAGAACACAAGACATCTTTCATTCTGTTTTCTTTGGCAAGTTACATTCTTATCTCAAATTCTTTTTACCCCGTTTGAGAGATTGGATTTGATCCAGGAAATGAGCATTCTGTTTCTCTTCCGCTGAGTTTCTTAAACTGAGTAAGCTAGCTTAAAATGACTAGGGATTTTATTTTGTATGTACATATTTCATACCAGAATGTATGTAAATACAACAAAGAAAAAGGCAGTTCTTGGATTTAACATCTTTTATTTTTCTTGCCTTAACTAGAATCTATTATAATTTATTTTCGCTCCCTTTCTCCCTCCCTCTCTCTCTCTTTCCTTACTACAGTCCTTTAAAGTGAAGCCCTCATTTTGATAGAAAACATTAGGGTACTTTATTCGTGGAGGAGATGACATTTTTTTGGATATATACCCTGCAGTGACACCCTTCACTGTGCAGGATGTGGAAGTTGCAGCACATAAGGATCTATGGCATTCAGCAGCCATTGTATCCATAATTGCTGTACTGACACACAGAGCTCAATTACAGAGTCGAAACAACAGCAAATCTGGATACTGAAGGGGGGGATGAATGTCACTTCTCTTATGTAATATCAAAGTGTTCGCATTGTAAAATACTTTTGCACATTTTTATGTAAATGTTGCATATAGTGGTGCTTGCGAGAATTTGTCCTGTTGCATGTTCTCCCAAGTTAAATGTTGAATGTTTTATTTTTCATCAAGTAAAATCTTGAAAACTTGGCCAGCACACTTTTTTTTTGTTGTTTTACATTATCTTTTAATTTAAGTACAAGCATTTTTGGGGATTGCTTTTGAAAAGACAGCTTAATTATAACTCATTTGGATTTCTTATTGCTATTAGTGGAAAACTGAATTCTTGTTGACACTTGTGGATTACCAGTGATAGTTAGGACAACTATGTGGCTTAGTCTACAGATACCTAATACATATCTTTGTTCAGGAAGTGATTTGAAGGACTAAGGAGGTTATAGAACACCAGGCACTGCTTTCAGATGTTTTGGCTGTTACTCTTTAACTTTAATGACTATTCAATGGCTTTTAGTTTAATTATCCCAAATGAGAAAGGAGACACATCAGCTACTTTACTATAAAATACTCAAGGTTAACCTTTAGGTGAGTAGACAACTGGAATATTTAGGGTAATTGGAAGATGCTATATGTCCCTGTTACTCTGCTCACTGTGTTGTGGTAAAGATTACGGTATCTTCTATCACATAATGTTCTTAAAACCAATTTGTATTTTTATAAAGTGATGACTGCACATAATTTTAAAAGTCACATAGTACTAACATTTGTAGTGACATAGAAGCTCCAAGCTCCCTTCTCTATCCCCATTTGATCTTCTCAGAAGCCTACTTTGAGCTGTTTTTTCGGCTATTTATAGCTATATTTCTAAATAGTATGCCAAGTTGCTGTTTATTGATTGATAAATTTAAAACATTATGTATTAACTTCTGAATATAAATGGTAAGGATGTATCTCTTTTAAACTACGACATCCTCCCTTTTGGCCCCAGTGTAGTTGTAGCACAATCTGTGTTTAAATAACTATCACACAGAATAATGTTATTGTATGAGTCAAGCACTTCATTATAGTTATTTTACATTCTTAAAAAATTTGTTCATTTTTGACCTTTAAAAATTTTTTTGTCCTTTTTCAATAATTATATTTTCTTTCTAAATTTCTCTTATATTCTTTAACAACTATAGACCACTGTAAAGTCCCTGTATTGTGTTGTATTAATCTGGACTGTAGCTACATTGCTGCTAATTGGAATTTTCTTTAGTTATTATCCTGAAATTTTACTTTTTTTCTATGTCAGACCTGTTTCTTGGATGGGGTGTTACCTCTTTCGGTATACTCTGTTTTGGTAATGTATATTTTTTAGTGGCTTTCTAGGAAAAACTGCAGGGGGCTGGGGATTTAGCTCCGCGGCACAGTGCCTGCCTGGCAAGCGCCAGGTCGTGAATTTGATTCCTGCTACCAGAAAACAAAACAAAACAAAAAAAAAACTCATAGAAGATAGCAATTTTGAGTTCTTATGTACCTCATAATATTTAGCCTCACCGTTAACTAATGACTTAATAAGATATGGAATTTCACGTTGAATATCAGTTTCCTTCAAAATTTTATGATGTTATTCCATTGATTTCTGATTTTAAATGTCATCATTAACATCTGATATCAGATCCTCTGTTCTATAGTTTGGATCGTGAATGTCTCCCAAGGGCCACGTGTTGAAAGTATGGTCCCCAGCATGTGGCACTACTGCAAAATGGTGGGGCCTTCAGGAAGTGAGGCCTACTGGAAGGAAGTTAGGTCACTGAAGGGTGTGCCCTTGAAGAGGATATTACCTAGAATCACACCCTGTCCTCTTCCTCTCCCTTTGCTTCTCAGTCATCAGACAGTGAATAAATAGGCTTCCTCTGCTGTGTGATTCTGCCATGATATACTGTGCCATACATAAAGCAGCAGAACCAAGCAACCAAAGATTGGAACCTCTGAAATTATGAGCCAAAATAAAACTCTTCCTTTATTAAGTTGATTATCTCAGGCATTTTGTTACAGTAACAGAGAGCTGACTAAAATATTTTGTATGTGACTTTTTATTACCTTTGAAAATTTTTAGGATCATCCTGTTTGTGGAATTCTGAAATTTAATGACATACCACAGTCATCTCTTTTTGTATTCACAGTGGGAGTTATTCCATAGGCCATTTTTGTCTAAAAACTCATATCCTTTACCACTGAAAATTTTTC